AATCTTGCTCTTTCTGAGTGAATCTGTTGAACTTTAAACTAAGCAAAACCTATCCCCATAGGAGTTGTAGTCTGTAATTATTTATACCATGAATGTTCAGGGCTGACTAATGAAGCTAAAACATAGCTGCACATTATTCTGCACAAGCCTTCCTTTCTGGACAGCTTCATTTAACAGTTGTAACTGTAGATTAAGTGTCCTTGGACTGTTTCCTCTGAAGGACAGATGCAGCTGGTTCTTAGTTTAGAGACTATCATCCGTAGATGTTTATGTTCTATATTCTAGCTAACCTAAGGAATAGGTTAAAAGGTAAAGCTTAGCATATAGGCTCATCTGCAGAGTTCCTGGGAAAGTAACAGGAGGTGTGCCAAGAGAAGGTGAGCTAAAATTTATAGTTGTTTTACACAGACATTACTTATCTCTGATTCCATTGTCTGCAATCTTTCTGCCGTGAGTCAAAATCTCCAGGACAGGTGGTGTATAGTGTTGCTCTGTTTTGAAATATATGGTGAATCCTATCTGATTCAGGAGTCCCTCTGTTCTTAAGATGTTTTTTTAATGGTTATGGCATGGAATTTGAATAGTTTTCATAGTCTCCATCCTGAAAGTAGCACAGCTTTTACCGACATGTGTCCTTTTCAGTTGTCTGTGAACAGCAAACAAAGAGTTCATTTATATTTTATAGGCATTGCCTAATTACAGCAATAGAGAAGCTAAGTAAATACAGGGACACGCACACTTCACTCTGCATCTTCAGTCATGTTTTCTCTGTCAGTTCTGCTTGAAACTCGCTGTATTAATTTCTGTGTTCAATAAGTCAAGAATGAAATATCTTTTAATTTTGGGTATTACTCAGACACCATCAAAAGTTTTGATTGAAACAGAGAAGTGAAGATTAAACAGTTTAGACGGTGTGTAAAAAGAACGTCAGGATTGTTGGTAACCTTCTTGAACTGATTAACAGCATTTTGATGTAGTATGTTACTCAGATATATATATATATTTTAATAAATTTGGTTTAATAAACATTACTGTAACTTGGGCAGTTGTCACTGGGAAGCAGTGAAGAGAAGGATGTTGTTTTTTCATCATTGATTGGTAACAGAAAAGTTCCATTAATTATCTTTTCCTGCTGTTTTCATGAAACATCAGATCTGATTTGTATCTGACTTTTTGTTTTAATGGATAAATACTGTATTTTCTAGTTTGAACCTTGAACTATTTTACTATTTACTAGATATTAGGTTTTGGCTATGGAGAAATCTATGTGTGCCCAACTTTTTTATGCGTTACAAATTTCAAGGAGTATTTGCAGAATAGGAAACTTACATGAGGGCTCTTTCATTTAAAAAAAAAAAAAAAAAAAGGCAACAACAAATAAATCCAAACATGATCTTTGGTTTCTTTATATTGCTATGCAGATATTGTTCACTTCTCTTTGTGATGCTGTGTATTTAAATATTTTCTTGAATTGTTCATGGTTTTGTCCGTTTCCTACTTGAAATTTTATTAATCAGATCTTTTTTCCTCTCTTCCAATACAAATTATGTCTAATTTCTAACACCTACTCTAAGACCTGGAATACAGACACTAATCATTTTATCAGTTAGGTGATTAATGACTCACTGTGTAGAAGCCAAGCGCCTTGGCTGAGGTGTGGCCATAGCAGAAGCATCTCTTTTGCATGGAATGTTCCTACTCTCCTTGTGTTTGGGATGTTTATGTGTGATTTTTGATGGCAAGGACCCAGCCCACTGCTGTATGATTCACAATATTAAGACAGAAGGTAGAGCCATCGACTTATACTTGAAATGGATTTTGTTGGTTCTTGACTGTGTAGAAAACCACTTAACAGTACTATGAAATTAATATAAGATGCACTTACAATAAACGATAAGTAACAATCATCTACAAACCTTTCATTTCTTCAGCCTTAAAAATGAAAATGTTTGCCTTGATGGATGATGCTTTAAAATCTATTTGCCACTGTTAAGCCAACTAATTAAATTGTATCAGAAGGATAATCATCCTAGCTGCAATTTAAGTAGTAAGTAGTATTTCAGAATTCACCTGAGAAATGAAATATTGAGGATACTGGAAAATATTTCTGAGGCTTCAGAATACAGCTCCAAAGAGCTGCATTCACAGTGCACAGCCCATGCTCAGTAACACAGAGCTCCCTTGATCCATAGAGCAGGATGGTCGGCAGTGAGCGCAGCACAAGGAATCCCTGTGAGCATGCTGAATTACAGATTCCTTTGGGTTGAGTTGGTGGGCAGGTCCATGCAGGCTTCTAGTAGAAAAGCAATTTTTGGTATTTATAATCATGAGAAAACCTTCTCAAACATAGTGAACAATATGGCATTTTTTGATTCCACAAGTCATTTTTCTGGATGTATTTTCTAGGGCTAAGAATAAGAATAATAAAATAATTTCTTTCTTTTCTTTTTTTTTCTTCACTGAGACATGCTCCTTGTTCCTGTGGTTTTGCAATGTATCCCTCTGAAAGGATATTCTGAAAATTATTCTGAAAGGATATTCTGAAAGTTGTTCTGAAAGGAGAAAGGGTGCCCTGCAGAGAGAGGAGGCCCCAGGCCCTGTGCAGTGTGCACTTCCTTTGGCAAGTACCACGTGCTTTTGCATGGAAGGCATAATATTGTCTTCTCTGTTTTGTAAGCCAGCAGTGGGGTTGTTCTCAACCAGCTGTTGAGCTTTGTTTCAAAAAAGTCCAAGACAAACACCACTAAGACAGACAAACACTGTCTTCCGTGGTATTTTCTGACAGATCAAGGCTTTACATAAATACAGACTAGTTAATCTAGGTTGAAATGCTATGTATTAGTCTGTAATTAACTCAGGATAGAGTGGTGTTCATTGCAAGTTACCATTGTTCTTTAAGGGGAACTGGAATAACCCTGACTGGCCAGAAGTGCAGGGATGGGAAGTTGTTTTAAGTGAGTGTTGTGAAGTTTTTCTGAAGCCAAAGCAGCTGTGCAGGAAGATTTATTGTGCATCCTATTATTTTTATTGGAATTTACATATTTTGCAGTGAGGAGAGCCTTAGTTATTCATCTAATTGGAAGCTTTATTCCAAAGGAGTTAATAATGTTAGTGAATCTGCAGTTCGCAGCCTGTTTCTGGGAACAGACAGTGCTATTTCAAAAACTTGTCCCTTCTTGTTCTGATAGCTGGCAATTGAACAGGCAGCATATATGATTCCTGGGTCATTTTTACCAAGCATGAAACAAATGTAAAGAAAGCAGCTTAAAAAAAGAAAAATCAAACAAAAACAAACCCCAAAGCAAACTATGTACACTTACAGAAACCTGCTTCTCTCATCAAAACTGCACTGTGAAAGCAACCTCTATTGTTCATACCATCTCTGTTAATGTGGCTGAAACAGGAGACTGGACTGCTCCGTTTTCTTTTGAACTGTTGTCTTTTATTTTTCTTGGCTTCTCTGTACTGACAAGTTTGACAGAGAATGTTGTTTTCTTTGCACTGTTTTCACTGCACAGAAATTCAAAGAACAATGGCATGAGCCTTGATCGTGCTCCCACCAAGCATATTGAAAATAGAAACTCCCGCTGGCTTAGAAGAATTCTGTTTCTTTTTGCACTGCTAAAGTTTTATTATTAATTACATGTTCTTTCAAAAAAGGATAGATGCAGCTTTATGATCAGCCCTACAGACTGATCTAAAGAGTGCAACAGAACAGGAACAATTCTAGGCAACTGCAAAGAAATACAGTTCTATTAACAGTATCCATATACCTAATTCAAGGACAAAATTGTATCAAGTATTCTAAAGCAAGAGAATCCGATGAGATATATTATAATTAGTTTTTTAAAATGTGATACTTTCAACAAGTTTATTTCTCTCTTCAATTATTTAAAGTTTCTGCTAGGTAAAACTGAGAAAGCAGTGAATTATTCACTAAATCTTAGACATTTCTTCTGTTTGTTTTGTTTTGATCCATTATGGGTCTGGTTTTCTGTATCTTATGATTTCAAAACCAAAGTTTTCAAGCTTTTGCGACTCTAGCTGACTTCAATGGGATGAGTTTTTCACTCAGAGTCTTTCAAAAGATCCTTCTTCCTTTCAGTTGCTATGGCTTCTGCTATGGATTCCTGAGAGTGCAGGAAGCAGGCAGTAACATAGCATGTGTTGAGAACCACAAGATTTAAAAACCTGACACCACATAGCAAACCTAAAAGATAATATTCATTTTTAGTTAATTTTAATGTGAAGTTTTGCATCAATTTAAAATTTGTAGAATTGGTACACGATAACATTTATGGACCTTAGAACTGTTTAGAGGTGAGTTTCACTTAGTATGTGTATTCCTTTAAAATGAGAGTGTTATGACTGGCTGTGAAGTTCAGAAGGAGGAAGGTTGAAAGTGTTACAGGGCTGAGGGTTGTCTGCAGAAGAACTGGCAGCAGCATTTATCTGAAAGCAGGGCTTTGATGTAATTTGAACAGGACTTCTTTAATGCCCAGTGAGAATACTTGTCTGCTGGTTTCAAGTGATGTTACTGTGACTGACCTTATTTCTATATGGATTCTGATGTGCACTGAGGAGTTTGATGCACAACAACTATAAACTTGTAAAGGTGGTAGAAATGACCTCCCCCTCATAAATGAGTCCCAAGAGAAAAGTGAACTTAGCCTCTGCAAGGGCAGTAGAAAGGACAAGGCAAGAAAATGCAGTGGCAATGCATACAAATAAATAAGAACATGGAGGTATGTAAAAAGAGTGATTAGAAACTTCAGCTGGTGGGTGGAAGGAAGAACTGACAGGGTTGAAGTTGCCTGCTGCTTGTTTGTATCACTTAGCCTTGACTTCTGCCTGTTCATATCTTTTTAATGAAATCCTTTTTTTTTTTTTGAATCCTTCCATTGCTGAATCCTTCCATGTCCTTGGATGGAGTTACTAATGGTGCAGTGATTTAAGGGTTGTAATCAAGTGTTGGTTTTTTTTTTTTTTTTCTTTGACAGGCCGGACCTGATAGACATGAATACCGTTGCTGTTCAAAGCAACCTTGCAAATTTAGAACATGCTTTTTTTGTAGCAGAAAAACTTGGTGTTGCCAGACTTCTGGATCCTGAAGGTAAGATAGCTACAAAAGGCTTTGCTGCAAAAACCCCATCCAGAGAGCTGCTTGTTGCAAATGTGTGGGCATCCTTACAACTGTGTGATAAAGCACTGTTCTGTCTTGCTCTCTAGATGTTGATGTTTCCTCACCTGATGAGAAATCAGTAATAACTTATGTGTCATCACTTTATGATGCATTTCCCAAAGTACCAGAAGGTGGTGAAGGCATCAGTGCAAATGTAAGTCAGAGAAAAAAACTTGGGCAGCTGTGTGGGCATTCTTGGTTTCAGCTCCTGAGTTACAGCTTGTTCCTTGCTCTTACTTTTCAGTCATGCAGTTAGACTGGTAAATTGTGCCTCTCCAGTTCTTTTGCAGACTAGAAAATGTTCTGTTTTCACTTGAAACATTTGGTACTAACACTGAATAGGGCAAATTATGTACTTGGAAACCTTAGATGAATTATAATAAGCATGTAAATATTTCAGAGCTGCACGGTCTAGAAATCTCTTTTCTGTGCCTATGAAGTCCTCAGGCTTCAAAGGTAAAACAGAAACAAAGCTGTCAGGTGATTTTCTTCTGATCTATAGTCTGTGTTGTGCTTTGGTAGGATGTTGAAGTCAAATGGGTTGAATATCAGAATATGGTGAACTACCTCATGCAGTGGATCAGGCACCATGTCACAATAATGTCTGACAGAACATTTCCCAACAATCCTGTGGAGCTGAAGGTGAGATGTGGCATCTTAAACTCCTTACTGGAATGAAACTTCATCACACTTATTCAAAGCATGCTCAAGCAAGTGAAATGGTTGTTGATTTATACAGTCAAATCAACTGTAGAACAGAAGCATCGTATCAATATAGGTTTTTATTAAATAGTTTTAAGGTGACCTTTGGTGGCTTTCTGACATGCAACTTAAAAACATTAGAGATGGGGTAGGGCGGGTTTGTAGATATATTTTATAATTCATCCTTAAGAGCTCTTTATATAGTTTAGTGAGCTAGATTTAATTCTTCTGAAAGAGAAAGGAAAATGTTATCACTCCTTCCTCACAGAATATTTTGGATAATCCAGAATAAAAAAGAAATGGTATATGTGTTGTGCAAATTCCATCACTTGAACCACATTTTAGAAGTAGAGTGGTTGTTTGGGTTTTCTTGAAGATGCCGTGTTAAGACTCATTTGAAAATGTAATTGAAAAGTAAAAGAATTACATTGCTCACATATGAACGATCAAAAGCAAATCTTCTCTTGTTGCTGATGATTTTTAACACAACTGAAGCAAAAAAAAAAAAAAAATTAAAACATAAGCTTACAAGGAATGTTAGAAGAAGATTTGGGGAGTAAGGTTATATTCACTGTGTTTGCTGTAAATAAAAGTTAAAGGGGTTTTTTTTGTTTGTTTCTGCAGGCACTTTATAATCAATATTTACAGTTTAAAGAAACAGAAATTCCACCTAAGGAGACAGATAAATTAAAAATTAAACGTCTATATAAACTGCTGGAGGTAAGTTTTAACATGCATTAAAATATATAAAAGTTCTCTTTTGGTGGCTTAAAATAACAAGTATGTCTGAATTTTTAAGGTCTGGATAGAATTTGGACGCATCAAACTTCCTCAAGGCTATCATCCAAATGATATAGAAAAAGAATGGGGAAAGCTTATTATTGCCATGCTGGAAAGAGAGAAGATTCTTCGGCCTGAAGTGGAGAGGTATGCTAGTGAATGTTTGGCAGGATTGGTTAATATATTTTATGTTCTTTTTCCCATAGTTTTTTTCTTCCATGATAACATCCCTGTTATTTTTCAATTTCTGTTGAATAATTCTGCTCTTTTTAAAGCCTGAATTTCTCTGTCTGCTTTATAGAAGCAGGTCCAGGTGAAAATACCTTGGATAGGTTCAGAAATTCTTAGAGAATAGTCTCTGTGTCTCAGAGATCACAGCATTTAAATACCACGTTTCTTCTGGTGTAGTCAGAGCAAGGTTGATACCACTTCATTGCCTTACTTGGACTGTTTTTCATAAAACACACCCTCGTCCTTCACATAAAATGTGAATTTTCCTTGATGCACCACGTCGTGGCTAATGTCTAGGTCTGCTAATTTTTTGAAGTTCATTGATTGTACTCAAGAGCGCACAAAGTGTTTTGATGTGCAAAATGCATTGCAGCCTTCCATGGCAGTAGAATTGATGATGCTGTTTTGTACACCACTAATAATATACCAAACACACTTAGCATCTTAATGCAGCCCTATTAGAACATCTAAGGTTTTTAAAGGTGCATCTTTTGAGTTCAGTGCTAGAAACAGAGACTACCATTCATTAATTAAAACCCTCTCCAGATAAATAGAAACACACATGAACTCCTTCCCATGTTTCAGGTTTGGTGAACAAATTTAATGCGACCAATTGTATACTGATAGTCATAGCAAACAAGTGACCTTGATGTGTTCTAATACTGAGGTATTGAAATTTGGCAAGCAACAAAAACTTTGCCTCCAAGTCTGGTGAACACATTTGAAAATGTCAACACAGATAAACAGCATGTGGCCAGATTGGTGTGTGGAATCAGAGTGAATGTGTGTGAGGAGTGTGCCAAACAGTTCCAGTTTGCAAAACCAGCAGAGTGAAAACATCACAGGGATGTGTCTGTGCTTCTGCTGTACTCTTCTGCTTGAACACAATCATCATATGTTGTGGGTGAGAGGTTTTCAAGAGGTGCTAAAAGCAGGAGGTGAATTACTGAAAAAATTATCCAAAGCTTGTATTCTGAGTTAAAATATCAACTCAAGGGCGTAGTGATCAGATTTTTCTTTTTTGTTCTGTGGTCAAAATAGTAACAAGTAATTAGCTTTGAGTATGGAAGAAGTTAAAGGGAAATTTGCAGGACAGATTGGTAGAACAGGGCAGTTAGTAAACATGCATACTTGGACAGTAGAGTAATGGTGGTGGGTTGGATGGTGTACAGGTGTCTAAAATTAACTAGTGAGAGCTGATTAACTGTGATGTTCCTACAGTTTTAATGTGCAGTTCCATTTGAAGGAGAAGGAATCGGCCCAGACTGAATTTCTATACCATACAGAGGAGTGAGGAGTTGTAACTTCAGTCCTTTTTGAAACTTCTCTAGAGTCTGAGAACACCTTAAAGATTTTTTTAAGTTCTTATTTGGCTTACAGACACTTAGTGACACTTAGATAAAATATTTGGCACATCTGTTTCCTAGAGACGCCCTAATACTGCTGCCTAGTCTGTACTTGCAAACCTTTAATGCAAGCTTAGGGAAGCCAAAAGCGAGGTGGCATGCATAGCCCCAGGTGAAATCTTTTGAAGAGCTGGCAGAATATTAATTGCTGGGTTTTGAATATGCATACTGAAGCCTATTTAAAGAAGGAGTGCTAGGTATTTCAAAAGCCACTGGTAAAATTTCATCCCTAGAAGCTGCACATTTTGTAGGAGTTCCATTTTTTCCATTTTTCAGCAAATATAAACAGCCAAAGAGCTGTGCTCTGGATGTCAAGATGAACAGCAGTAGTTACAGCTATCATAGCAGCGATTCACTGTTTAGCAACAGTACCAGTGTTCAAACCAGCGTTGACTCTAATGAAAATTTCCTTTCTGTTAATCGTGGTCCCACGATGATTAAATCTTGTATAAGCTTTGGTAATGCCACCTTAGAAGGAAGCAGGTAACTTGACATATGTATTTATGCTTTGTGTATGATACTGTTTGCTTATTTTAATTTATGTGTGTATAGTAAGTATAAATAACAGAGTTATTTTTTGAAATTTTTCTGGTATCACTTAGGTTGGAAATGCTGCAGCAGATTGCAAACAGAATTCAGCGGGACAGCCGAAGCTGTGAGGACAAACTGATGCTTGCCCGGAATGCTCTGCAGGCTGTAAGTCAGCTGCTGATTTTACTCGTCCATGTTCATACACTTGCTGCAGTATTGTGGCTAGTTAAAAAAAAGAAAAAACAAAACACAATAGTTAGGATTTTTGAATACATAATTAGTAATCGATACTTTTATTTTTGTTGTACTGTTATCATTCATTTAGCATTTCTTCAAGAAATTACCAAAAATTGCCTAGAATGAGTTCTGTTAGTTAAAGTTCTTTGCAATTACTTTACAATCAGAAAAAAAGTTTTACAAAAGCATTTGGATATTTTACAGTTCACCTCTCTTTTACTAGCTGCAGGGCTCAACGGCTTTCTTTTATTTATTCAGGACACCAAACGACTGGAGTCGGGGCTTCAGTTTCAGCATGAAGCAGAAATAGCTGGGTATCTTCTTGAATCTGAGAACCTTCTCCGCCAGCAAGTGATTGATGCCCAAATTCTTATTGATGGAAAGTACTATCAGGCAGACCAGCTTGTACAGAGGTACTTTACAACGTATTTATATAAATAAATTATCAAATTTAGACTATGGACATCATTTTAAAATCATGTCTGTGGATAAACTTCGGTCTATGACTTAGTACCCAAATAATAATTGCTGGGTATGATTGTGGGCACATTGCCCGCAAACAAAAGATGAGAACCTGTTTGTTCATCTCTGAAAATAAAGTCACTCACCGGAACATGATTTAAACCCTTATGTTATCTGATATCTACGTGTAAAGATGTTAGCTTATTTTGTTGCAGCTAAAATGGATTCAGAATTCACAGTCTTTGATTTTAAAAATAGAGGTGAGATTTCTGGTGATAGCTGTAGGTGTCTTAGCAGGAGGGGTAACATTAGCTTACATATGTTTGTTCAGTCCTAGCAGAAGGATACAATTAAGCAGTGTAATGTAATTCTATGAAGAAATGGCTTCACAGTTTGTTGGGATTTGTTCTGGATTGTGTGAGATGTAGCAGCTATTTAGCAGTGAACTGTGAGTGTTTGACCTGTTAGAACATGTTGTGACTTGCATACTTTCTGCTTTGCTGAATTCTTCCCTGGTACTGTGTATGATGCGTGCTAATGCTGCTGATTTTCTGGGTTATTGTCTGCTTTCTGCATTTACTATCTATTAATAGAAGACAAAGGTGGCATAGCCAGCTTATTTATGAATGTTCAAATACAACTAAAAGTAAAAGATTATTGGGATTCATACTACTATTCAGTTCAGCATGATAAAACTATATAAACGTTCATGGAAAATATTTTGTTTTTATTTACTTTCTTAAATTTTATTTTAATAGGGTTGCAAAACTTCGTGATGAACTGATGGCCATCCGAACAGAATGTTCTTCTCTATACAGCAAGGGACATGCATTGACAGCAGAACAGACAAAGCTGATGATATCAGGAATAACTGAAAGCTTAAACTCAGGATTTACAACAAACCTAACTCCTGAATTAAATGCTGCAATGACTCAAGGTTTAACACCTAGTTTGACTTCTTCCAGTTTGACATCTGGCCTCTCATCAGGTCTTACTTCCAGGTTGACACCAGCCATGACTCCTGCTTACACACCAGGCATCCCACCGCGGTTAATTCAGAGCTATGTAACAGGAGTAGATGGTGGAACTCTGCAAACACTCAAACTTACGCAAATCAGAAAACCTCTTATGAAATCAGCTTTTGTGGACCAGAATTTAACCGAAGAAGAAGTGAACATGAAATTTGTCCAGGACCTATTGAACTGGGTAGAAGAAATGCAGGTAGCAATCTTAACAGAAACATCTGCTTCTAATTACTACATTTACTGCTTGTAGATCATGGCTGACTTTTCCTTCTTCTTTGTAAGGTGCAACTAGATCGAGTGGAATGGGGTTCAGATTTACCAAGTGTTGAAAGCCATTTAGAAAATCACAAAAATGTTCACAAAGCTATTGAGGAGTTTGAAGCCAGCCTTAAAGAAGCGAAAATCAGTGAGGTATGGCGCCACACTCCTCATTTCCTCAGTTACTTGCTTGCTGAGTGATTCATAACATAATGTTGAATTATAGAGTTGTGCTTGGGTTTTACTTTTGCTCCTGATCTCTAGATGACATATCGTGAAATCAGGAGATCTAGTGGTTGAAAATGACTTACCATGTCTAACTGTTTCCTTGTCTTTTGACCTCGTATACCAAATACAGATCCAAATGACTGCCCCTCTGAAACTCAGTTATGCGGAAAAATTGCACAAACTGGAAAGTCAGTATTCAAAACTCTTGGTAAGTTTGTCATACATTTTGATGTTCAGCTTTTCAGTGTACATATCATCTGTGAGAAGAGCTGAGTTTTAAATTCTGATTTTTTTTTTCTTTTTAATAAAGAACACATCAAGAAATCAGGAAAGGCATCTAGATACTCTTCACGATTTTGTGTCTCGTGCTACTAGAGAGCTGATATGGCTGAATGAAAAAGAAGAGGAGGAGGTTGCATATGACTGGAGTGAAAGAAACCCCAATATAACAAGAAAAAAGGAATACCATGCAGTATGTATTGCCAATATAATCCAGAGAGAAAAGTTGTCATCTGTAACAATTAAACAAATTTCTAAACTTTTGTTTTGCTTTTTTTTTTTCTTTTGTGTGTGAAAAAAGGAATTAATGAGAGAACTTGATCAAAAAGAAGAAGTTATTAAGTCAGTACAAGAAATAGCTGAACAGTTACTTCTTGAAAATCACCCGGCCAGGCTAACCATTGAGGTAAGTTAGTTTAAAGAAACACACAAAAAAGAAAACAATTTTGTGATTTTAGTGTAGATTTTGTGATTTAATAGATTGTAGTGGGAAAGAAGGGAAGCACTTCCAGGATATTAAGCAACCAGATCCCAATAATGAGGACTTTATTTCTTGTTCAGTGTCTCTACTGTATTCCCATCTTCCAGTTTCCAAAACTTGTAAGCATTTCTGTAAGATGATGGTTATGTTTTACATTATGTAGATCAAGTCCCACTGAATTCTAAAATTCAGACTTCAGAAATTGATCTGTACAGATATTTCTCCTGCTGGGCATGCAGCTTCCACAGTCACTGATGCAAATTGCCATGGCAGGCTGAGGGCACAGAACAGTCCTTATGTGGTTTCCATTCTGTTGGACTGAAAGGAGTTTCAGCAGGGCATTTCTAGTTACTTACTGTATATATTGCTTCCTATTATGGTTTAAACTTGGTTTCATAAATTCTGTCAGTTATGAAATTTATTTGGATATTAAAAAATCTGACCAGATGTTTAAATTACCACAGATTTGAATCAAACTCTAGGTAAACTGTTCACAGAAAATTTATTGTAGCTGTTGTAGAATCATAACAAGTTTCCAAGGGAGAGTTCTGAATGTTTTCCTTATAGATTTCCAAGAAAAAAAATACAGACAGTGGGTAGTAAAAATAGAAATAAAACAAACAAACAAACAAAAAAAGCCAACAAAGCAGTTTTATTATAAATAATGAAAAAACAGAGAGGATAGATTTTTATAATTCTTCAGCTCAGTGAATTCACAAATTTACTGCTGCGTACATTGGAAATAGATGAAGAAAATTCCTCCTCACTGTTTTTACCTAGAAAAATAAGCACTTTTTAATTTAACATTTGTATTTACGTTCCTTGAAAGTATATGCTATTATTAATGAGCACTTATCAGTAAAATACACTTAATATATGAATAAATTAAAAATGCATATTATGAAACAAGTCTGTCACAATGTTGTTACATAGTCTATTTTACAGTGAGGATGTCCTGAGGAGTGGTAGAAGGTGTGTTGCTGAAGATTTTCAAGACAAGGCTGGATGAGGCCCTGGGCAGCCTGATCTAGCTGTGAATGTCCCTATTCATTGCAGGGGTGTTGGACTAGATGACCCTTAAAGGTCCCTTCCAACTCTAAGGACTCTGTGATTCCATATACAGTGTGTAATGTCTGCAATAATGCTATACTGGGACATTAAAAGAGTCCTAAAGCTGATGTCTTCTGTGCAGAAGAATATATGCATTAATGAATCAGTTTGAGATTCACTGAAACCAATGGAAAATCTTTCAATTCCCTGAGAATGGTACTCAACCCCGACTTTCGGCTGCTTTTGTTAAGTCAAGAGTTCCCTCTGCTGGTGAATGTTAGAGCAGTGCCTTGCTGGTGACAGCACCCTGTAGGGTGGCATCATTCAATTAAGGCTGCACAAAATTATATGCTGCAGCTGATCTTCGTTTATTATTTTTGTGTACTCAGACTAGAGAAACCTGAGGAAATGTAGGGCTTTGTTTGGCTAAGTCCTGAATGTGCCCAAGGATGGCCCTACCCTCTTGGAGCGAGTTTTCTGGTTTTTCACTATGGAGTAAAGACAGGTGTTGTTTTGTTTTTTTTTTTCTCACTTATAATAGAAGTTTCCCTCATTGCAGCTTATTATTCTTGAGTAATGACAGTTAGATGCCTGTGTTTGCAATATTATCTTTATGTTTTCTAACTTCTGTTGATATATATATATATATATGTGTGTGTGTGTGTGTGTTCTAATTTTCATTTCCTTATGTAAAATCTCTCTGTCTCCCTTGAAGGCCTACAGAGCTGCAATGCAGACACAGTGGAGCTGGATTCTTCAGCTCTGTCACTGTGTTGAACAACATTTGAGAGAAAATGCTGCATATTTTGAGGTAAAGAGGTCAATAAAAATGTGAAATCTTGTAAGTTGTGACCACAGTCAAAAAGTTTCATTTTTACTGAAAACACTACGTGTTCTCTCACAGTAGCTATAGAATGGAAATTGAGCATGTACAGTCATGAGATGATGAACCATATCTTCACAGTGTTACCACTTCTTCATTGTAACTATATCACTTCACAACAGATGTAAATCTGTCTAGTCTTTTTTCATAGTTCCATAACTGCTAGCAGAGAATCTGAGAATGAAGCCATGCTCTGCTCATGTCTGACAGAACTACGGTCAATAAAGCTTTTGTGGATGGATGTAGAGTAGAGGGTTGTTATTGATGGCCAACATAGAACATATCCCAAGTTGTTCTTCCAGGAGCACATGAACAGAAGTGGAACATACAGTAAATAAAAATTATTAGGTTGTTGGAAAATAACCCAGCTGTTTTTCACATCCTAGTTTTTCAGTGATGCCAAAGAGGCCATGGAGTATTTAAAGAATTTGAAAGATGCCATATATCGAAAATACAGTTGTGACAGATCAAGCAGCCTTCATAGGCTGGAAGACCTTGTCCAGGAGTCTATGGTAAGAACTCAGTGATCTTGTTAATGTGAACTACAATTAAACAAGATGTGTATGGATTATAGATGGATTAAAAAAAAATAAAATCTTTGCTGTAAAATTATTACTTTAAAGGCGGGGAATAAGAAAATGAGATTTATGGCTTAGAACTTCAGTAATTTTATCTGTCCATGTCTAATGGTTGTTTTTCTTAGCTTTGAATACAATTTAGTCTTTATCTTTACAGTATCAGATATTGTGGTAAACCAATGACTTCAGAATGATACTTTGTTCTTGTAAAATGGGATACATTTAAGAAACCTAGTAAAAGAAGTCAGAAAAGCTTAGCAGGATCACTGTATTCTGGCCACTTCTTACTATGTTTTCTTTTCTTAACTGTTCTAGGAAGAAAAGGAGCAACTCCTGCAGTATAAGAGCACAGTAGCAGGCCTTGTGGGGAGAGCAAAGGCGATAATTCAGCTGAAGCCAAGGAACCCTGACTGTGTACTGAAAACAACCATCCCAATTAAAGCCATCTGTGACTACAGACAAATTGAGGTTAGAAACTTGAATGTCCTCAAATCAATTACAGATGTGAAGATTCAGCTGAAGTTTCATTAATTACCATCTTCCTGGAGAACACTGGGCTCGAAATATCTTCCACCCTAATGAACAAGAGCAAATCCTTGTGTTGAGCTTTGTTTTGGTTATTCTGTTGCTTATTTAGTGCACCATTTACAAAAGAGCTTTGTAAAACTATTTTGTAATGCTTAGATCATTAAATTACTACGCTTTTCTTTTAATTCTAGATAACTATTTACAAGGATGATGAGTGTATATTAGCAAACAACTCCCATCGTGCTAAATGGAAAGTCATTAGCCCAAGTGGTAATGAGGCCATGGTTCCATCTGTATGCTTTAGTGTTCCTCCACCAAACAAGGAAGCAATAGATACAGCCAACAGGTAAAGGCAAAGTAAAACCTGCTTTAAAATATGTTTAATACAAATATTTTTGTTTCTTTATGTAGAGAAACAACAGTCCTTTGGGCTAGAGCTGAGGAAACAGTTGCTTTAAATCTTTTTCCAATATGAAACTTGGGTTAAACTGCCTTTTTTTTTTTTTTTTTTTTTTTTCCCTTTTCCTATGTTACTGCAGTATAAAACATGTTTTCTCACCTTAAATTGGACTTTTTTATGCTTCAGGATTGAACAGCAGTTTCAGAACGTTTTGGCCCTTTGGCATGAGTCGCATGTAAACATGAAGAGTGTGGTTTCCTGGCATTACCTAACAAATGAAATTGAAGCAGTTAGAGCTGGCAATGTTGCCTCGGTATGTATTATGTCTACCAAGGGACTTTTAGACATTTACCAGGATGTAGGCTACAATTTCTGGAAATATTGTATGATAAATTTAAACTTATCCTCATCTTCTGGAAATAGCTGACAGGGCACCACTGTGAAACGTTCTGCCTTGATCTGAACAGCCTTAACAGACATTACATGAGGAAGGTGGAGAGAGATTGTATCATAAAAATTACCTGTAGCCTTACTATACTAATCTTTCTACTTTCTTATTGTCATTAGAGGTATGGGATGTGTTGAAAGTAATCAAACAGTGATTAAATCTGAATTTTGTTTTGGAAGAGTCTACCTTTCTGCATTTATGTTGCAGGTATTTGGGAGGTGATCTTCCCTAGTGAAACCTCCCATTAATTCATTGCGCTGCAATTTCTTACTGCGAATGTTGCATTTAGCCTTTCAAGCTGAAGGCAGTTGAATACTCATTCCTCTCTAATCATTTATTTCATCCTTATATATGTCTGTAATTTGAAATTCTAAATTGATAAATAGGATTAATTTGTCAGATACGTAGATCAAAATACTGTTCTGTCTAGCTAAAACCATGTGATATCACCAAATTATATGCTGTTGAATATACAGCATGAATAATATAGGGGTTTGTTATACAGCACTGGTATATATCTGTTTTCAAACTGTTGCAGTAATATTTGTAATACCCAAAATGACTTTTTAAATCCACTCTTCCCACTATTGCTGTTGGGGAAAAAGGAACCTGAAATAATAGCAAATGTGATTCCTGTGACTTGCTGGCTGCCTGTTTGTTGCTATGTGACGTAGATGGAGAGACTGTGTCTGGTGTAAGATTGGCTTAAGAGCCAATCACTGGCTTTAAATACAGAAAAGGATTCTGTTTTGCGTATAATCTACCGAATGTTCATCTGATGCCTGTCAAGTGGACCACAGCCCAGGAATGACAAGCTTTCAGGACCACCATCTTATAACTTCTACTGCCCTAATAATTGGTTATTAATTCTTTTTGATATGAAGTGTTGCAGACAACTGCGTGAGTGAGGCATCATTGCTGACCATGCCTTGGGTTTTGATTTGTTACAGATAAAAACAATGCTGCCAGGTGAACATCAGCAGGTTCTGAGCAATTTGCAGTCCCGCTTTGATGATTTTGTGGAAGATAGCCAGGAGTCCAAAATCTTCACAAGCTCTGATACTGCACAACTGGAAAGGGAAGTTAATATTTGCAAGCAATACTATCAAGAGCTTCTGAAGTCTGCAGAAAGAGGTAAGATGCCCTTACGTATGAGATTGCAGTTCTTCATAAATTTAAGCTCTAGAGAATTACTGTTGTTGGTATTGATCATGTTTTGTTGGTTTTTTTTTGAATGGATAAAGAGCCATTGTTTTAGCAGTGTATACAACTGCACTGTATATAAGATCTAAATTTTTGTTAACTTTGTATTTATTTATTTAAACAAAAATATTGAAGTGTTAACATAGGTGGTACAAAAAAATGTACCCCCAAGATTTTTTAATTTTTTTTTTCACTCCAGTAAACTGCTCAGTAAGGTTTTCCTTGCTGTTTCTGGTTGTTTGAATACAAACTGGCAATTTGGTTAAGTTCGTAACAGAATTAGATCATTTTTAATGCAAGTAAATTATTTGTTTAGCTCCACAGACTGCCCATAGTTACTGTTCTCTTAACTGTTCTAAAATACAACAAGCACAAAAAGCTTAAAATATTTGTTCTGATTTACTGTCAAGTATCTGGTGAATTACAGGAATGCAATGGTTTAAAACCGATTGGTGCATTAGCATAGTTCACTGTACTTAAGGAAAGACTTGCTGTCCTGTCCCTCTGAAAGAGTATATTCAAAAAATATTCCCTGAGATTTCCTGTAGTATCATACCTGATGTGTCTGACTAAAAGAATCAGGCACTGAATGTGTTAGCACTGTCTGTGTAAGGGAAGAATGATCAATGGTGTATGCTAATTTCTGAAGTGTGAGGAGGTGATCCAATGCTAGCTAAAATTTTGAAGCACCTAAAATGTTTTATAGCCAGAATTCTTATGAAAATTGGTGGCTTTTCAGTTGTTCATAAAAAGTCCTGCAGAATGATGGCTTTTTAAAGACTTTTGAGAGAAGACAGGGAGAAATTGACAAGGTGACTTTGTTTGCTAAAATTTGCCTTGTTTCTTCCAACAGAGGAGCATGAAGAATCTGTTTACAATCTGTACATCTCCGAAGTCAGAAATATCAGGCTCCGGCTGGAGACCTGTGAGGAACGGTTAATCCGACAGATCCGGACCCCAATGGAAAGAGATGATCTACATGAAAGCGTCTTTAGGATTTCAGAGCAAGAGGTGAGACTTTAAGAAATCTGTATTAAATAGTAAGAGTTACCTAGGAAGTTGAGTATGCATTATATCGATACAGAATAAGAACATTGTCCATCACCTTTCGTTTTACAGAAGCTGAAGAAGGAGCTGGATCGACTGAAGGATGACCTGGGAGTCATCACAGATAAATGTGAAGAGTTCTTCAGTCAGGCTGCTGGTTCACCTTCAGTTCCCACCCTGCGCTCTGAACTCAGCGTTGTTATTCAGAATATGAACCAAGTTTATTCCATGTCTTCCATTTACATAGATAAGTAAGTAGTCGGTCATTTCCCATCACACATACTTTAGTTTGTAGTTTTCTCTTCAAAACAAAGATATTAGTAGGAATAATATCTGATAGGGAAAAGAGAGTTAACATGATTTTAACATTGTGTAAGAGTACTCCATTACATGAAATGACTGACAAACACAGGCATGCTGACTGTTGTTATTATTTGTTACTGTTTTTCAGATTAAAAACTGTGAATTTGGTGCTGAAGAATACTCAAGGTGCAGAATCATTAGTAAAACTCTACGAGACTAAGTTATGTGAAGAAGAGGCAGTAACTGCTGACAAAACCAACATTGAAAATCTTATGGGTACATTAAAGGTAAGAGTTGACTTTTCCTGGGCAAAGCAAACAGTAGGAAATAATCCGTCTCATAACACTTATTCTGATTAAGCATAAAATGCATAAAAATACATAGTTTATCAAAAGGTGGCTTGTGCATTTGGAGGAAAGAGTGTATTAGCACCGATAACTCAGAAAAACCTCTTGAGAGCATTAGGAATTAAACAGTTGTATGTGCATGCTTGTAATTTGGTAATGACTTGCAGTGACTGAACTTCCAAGAGGGTCAGTTATTATTACTGCAGTACGACTTTTTCTGTCTCTGCAAAAGTAATGTGTGCTTAAGGTAACATAAATTATGTGAATGTGGCCTCAACAACTTTCTTGCTGCTGCTGTGGTATGGTAATTGGGGTTTCCTATGAAATTTAGCATTTATCTTTGAGGAAGACTAAGGCTGAAGGTCGGAATTGTTCATATGTTGCATATAGCTCGTTTCAATATTGCAAATGATAAATAATGATGAGTAATGGTTTTTTTGTTGTTGTTAGAGTGACTGGCATCTACCTTTTTTATTTTTTTGAAAGCAGTAATTTATCAGATAAGTATGTTAATTTGCTAGTTGTGTTTGATTCTTTTGTTGCTCAGAACTATTTTGCAGTTCATAGCTAATTAGTTGCTTCAGACCCATTCCAGTGCCATTCCAGTGTCTGAGCAACCAGGTGTGTTGGCTCATTCATAGCATTGTAACTTAGGAATAGTTTACAATTTCTCATTTACTATGTTCTAGCAATGGAGATCTGAAGTAGATGAGAAAAGAGAAGTATTCCATGCCTTAGAGGATGAGCTGCAGAAGGCAAAGATGATCAGCGATCAGATGTTCAAAATGCACAAGGAACGTGATCTTGACTTTGACTGGCATAAAGAAAAAGTTGATCAGTTAGCCGAGAGGTGGCAAAATATTCATTCTCAGATTGAAAATAGGTTAGTATAACTTTCTGTTAAAGTCTGTTAATGTTTTCTGCTGCACTTACTGCTTTTTTATGGTAAATAGTAAAAAAAATGTATGTTAATACAGGTTAGCGTAGTTTTCAACAGTATTTCTAAAACATGCTAAGATCAAGGATTCTTATCTTTTCTTTGCTGTTGACGTTACTGTCCATCTTTTCCATGGGAAATACTTCTGCCTATTTAGCACAAAAAGACTAATAGAATATTGAAACTTTATTTAGTTTCTTACAATTTACTGAGATGCAGTAGAGAGAAAGTGTTATGTTTTCTTTCCAAAAAAAAGCCTACAGAAATGGCTTGCTCTCCTATCAAAATGCTGTCAGTTTGTCCATGTAATTAATTCTGACAGGCAAAAGTCATGAGCTGATTCATCAGTTATGATTGGGTTGATGTTTATTTACTTTTAATGACTCAAGTGCTAAGTCTGGAAGCCGTTAGCTTCCATTGTCTTCTGTGATGATTTTGTCATAACTACTAAATTAAAAATTTTTGGTAGCATGCACATGTTTTTCTTTTGGTGTGCAATTGATTTCATGCAGTCTCCGTATACAAATGCAATGCTGCTCTAAATTAACTTAATCATTATTATTACCATGATGATATTGGATAATAGTGCTCAAATGCACAACCTTCACAAGTTTAGATACTGCAGGACACACATTTTAGTAATTCTGAAGGAGGTGTCCATACATGACATTTCTAGAATCACTTTTCCCTTCAATCTCTACATTTTTGTCTCCTTTGTGGTATCAAGAAGTTAAAGAAGGCTTTAATACACAGCCTGAATTTATTTCCATTAAAATCTACTTTAATTTGTCGTTATAAATAACCCGAGTGGGAGCATCAAATACAGTGCTGTTTACTTAAAACTTCATGCAATAACCTTTCACGCTTTTGTCCTCCTTTTCTAAGGGGTGAATGTCTACTCAGGTATAATACTGAGATTATTCATTTGAGCTAGCTAACTTAGTTGGCTCTGTTTAGCATTGCTAGAAATTCAAAGACAGATGGGGGAAAAACTGACTGATTTAAAGATGATTGGAAGAGAATGGCTGGCTTTAAATCAACTCAGATTTTTCATCATCTGATACTATGACAGAATTGAAATGATAAAACATTACCTTCACAAGATACTAAAGTTTCCATATTTCATCATAAGGCAGTCATAAAACAAACGCTGTCCTTGCAGGGCTGTGTTCTGAATAGTACATGCTGAATAATTGCTGTTAATACTTAGAAACTTCTGATGTAAATAGGACAGATTGTGGTTGTTGCAGCATCTAGTGGTAAACAAACTGCTTTCTGCAAATGCTCACTCTTCTGCTTGCTAACAGCTTGACACTGATGATCATTACATGTAAATTATATACAAATCTTGGCTGATCCTTCCTTACTTTCATAATTATTAGCATAAAGCTGAATGTGAAGCCTGAGCAATGTTGTAGCCTTTGCTTGCTCTTTTCTTACTCTATTTTTGGCATCTTGAGAACAACGTTACTGCAATTTGAAGTACTTAAAATCATCCTATAAAAAGTTTTGAAGCATGTTTATCCATAAATATGCAGTATTTTGGATTAGTCCTATTTATGCAAAATTTGAAGAACCATGAATGTAGAGTGTCAGTAATTCTCATTAGAATGGAAGCCGATTTCAAGAAATGCAGAGTAGTTTTTGTCAGATGAAAAATGTAATTTATAAAGGGACTTAGCCAAGAAGACTGTGTGCTTTAGTGCCTGAGGATGTCTAAAGTCCTTAGTTTTAGAGTAACTGCTGTTGTTTTGTGGGAGGCATAGTATAGTGAACTGCTACTGAACTCCACCACAGCTTTTTGTCATTTGGATTCAGATACTCTCACTTAGCATTAATTATGGTTGCAAAGCCATCTATCTGACAGCATGCTTAGGGATTCCTGTGCTCACAGCATTTCAAGCAATTTAGCTCGCTAATGAAAGATATGTGCCATTTTTTTTCTGGAGTGGGATTTCTCTTGGGTGTCACTTAAGGCAAATGAAAACATTCATCAAGCTTTTCCTAACATTTGAGAAGTTAATTCACTGTTCAGTTAGTGTTATTTTAGGATGCTTATAGCAGAGCTAAGTATGTTATAAGCAGAGCAGAGCTACAGCCTTTAAAGCTATTTTTGGTTTACTGTTGTACTTCTTGTCTTTCACATTCATTTTCACTCTGCATTTTTGTAAAATAAAATCAGGTTACGTGACTTAGAAGGTATTAATAAATCTCTGAAGTACTACAAAGATACTTACAATTCATTGGACACTTGGATTCAGCAAGTGGAAGATACTCAGAGGAAGATTCAAGAAATCCGTCCTGAAAATAGCAAAGCATTGGCTAAACAGCTGAACCAACATAAGGTATGGAAGCCATCTCATTGTAGGAGTGCACTGCTGCAATGACTGAACTCAAGTATCAGTTAAACCCAATGGTATCAGTTTTTTCTTGATGTAATAAGCTTATAAATCCCTCAGAGTTTATTGTCTACATTCCAAATTACCAGCTTCCATGTTCTCCTGTTCACAGTGCAGCTAACATTATTAATATACCACTCACTAACTGTTACCGTTCTATAGTCAGACTAATTTTGGTTCTCTGATGTTCACAAAAATAGCAAATGAAGTGGTATATCCTCCTTTATTTTGAAGTTTGCTCACAAGGTATTAAGCTTGACAGGATTTCCTTCACTTTTGTACTCTATACCAAACAAGGCTGAGACATGGGCTTAAGCATGTAATTACTTTTATCCACTTGAAATGTACATATTACATGATTTATTGATGTCAGATAAAGTAGCAATAATAATAACAGCAATCATAAGTATCACTTTTTAAGATGAGGATGTGGATTCATATTTTACAGATGCTGGTTTCTGAGATTGAAATGAAACAAAGCAAAATAGACGAATGCCAGAAATATGCAGAACAGTACTCAGCTGCTGTGAAGGTAATAAATACTGATATACTTAGAATCCTCATTTTCTGTCATTATCATGTGGAACGCTGACCATTTTGTGTATTTTATGTTTTTATAGGACTATGAGTTGCAGACTATGACTTACAGAGCTATGGTTGATTCCCAACAAAAATCTCCAGTGAAACGACGAAGAATGCAAAGCTCATCAGACTTCATTATTCAAGAGGTAAATTGGTTTCTTCTGACAGGAATATTTTCTTCTTGAAAATATTTCTTCTTTGGAAAGTTTTTTTCCTTAAAATTGAGTAAATAGAATTATATTATTTACAATTCATTATGAGTGAATAGAGTAACTCAATCAATATCTTTTTGTCTGTAGCTAAATGCTGTGATAAATATTCTATTGAGCATTATGCAGAATTTAGATAATTTTAGTGCTGCTGTTGAATACAAGTCTGCAGATTATTTAAAAAATCATCTGAGAAATGAGCTTCTGGAAAACCTGTTAATAATAATTACCTTTGGACTGAGTCTTGATCACAGTAAACAGGGGAAGCTTTAGTCCTTGCTATAATAAAATGTACTGATTCTGGGTTTCAACTGAGGCAATTCCATCCCTCAACCTTATACGAGAAATGTGAATCTGTCTCCCAGGTGTTAGAGAGAAATAGTGAATGGCACTACTTGTCTCCTCTTTTAATGTGTTCTTACAGAGAAAAAGAATTGCTATTAAGTCAAAACATTATCATCTATTTTTTTTCTGCTTCTGGATCTCCTTGTAGATCCCTGTAATTTATTTGTATGAGTGTACCCTGTTGATTGCTTTCAACTGTGCAATGGAAACAAAGACCTTGGAATGGAAATCAGGGTTTTGGAATAAAAATCCATGGCTTTCAAACCAAAGTCAGGATAGGTTCGAGGGGAGTTATTATTAACTCTTTGAAGGTCAGTTCTAGGAGATGTCTTTTATGTGGCATTCAGTGTGTTTTCCTCTCTCTTCTTGTCTTCCCCATTTGCTTCTCTGCAGTTCATGGATTTACGAACTCGTTATACTGCCTTAGTGACTTTGATGACACAGTACATCAAGTTTGCAGGTGACTCTCTGAAAAGACTGGAAGAGGAAGAGGTAAGTCATCCCCTAAAAACCAACCAAGCAAAAAGAGCAGCTAGGCAAATGAAGAGCAATATGTCTGCTGGACTTATTCACAATGGTAGTAGTAGATACAAATTACTGGAATTCCGTAAATGCTGTGCCTTATGCAGGAATGTACGAGTGTTAAATGGCAACTAACTAAATTTTAATTCAGATGAGCAAAACCACACCGTCCATATGTTTTACTTGTTATTCCAGTGAAAAAGACTCTGTGACGATAAACTGTGCTAGAGATGCAGTTACATGCAGAACATTGCAATACTGCAGTATTCGAGGGCTCAATGTTTGGGATAAATGCAGTCATTAAGCCAAGGAAAAAATCAGTGTGCATATGCTGTTTGATATCCTGAGTAGGTCTTACTTTCCATAATGTGTGTTCTGGTCCACTTGCAACACATTAGAGTTTTTAACAGGGAAATGAAGTGTTTTCTTGAATAATATAAGTTTCTTGGGCATGTTTAGATATTCCTACTTCTACCTCTCTACAGTCTTGATACTTTAAGGTCAAACTGCATTTGATTTCTGTTTAGTGTTTAATCTTATTAACAACAGTAAGTTACTGAAATTAACAGACAAATTGCTCAAAATGCATGCTTGCTGCAGAAACACCATTGCAAATAATTGAGAACAAAAATCAAAAGCATTTAAATTCTTCTTTTTTTTTTTTTTTTTTTTTGAAATGCATTAAGTTTCTTAAGGATTGTAGTGTTTTAGTATAATTTATGCAGTGCATATCTCTATAATAATGCCCACGTTCTAAGTAGTCCTATAATTAGTTGTGTCTATATTAAATATAGTCCTAGAGTACAGATGACGATTTTTTTTTACAGAAAAAAGCATAGCTTTCTTTCTTAAAGGAAAACGCAGTTCTTCTCCTGGCTTTTTCTTCCTGCCATTTCTAGCTTTTGAATGCCTCTGAACAAACTGTTAACACTAAGAGCATGCATCTTTGTCCATCAAAAAGTTATAGAGAATGCAAATGAAAATAGATAACCTGTTTTGATAGATAGCCTTTATAACTGAGAATTTATCCTAACAAATAATACTAACCGTATCATGGATAAAAAGTTGAAGAACAAGAACTGAAACAAGGACCAAGATTGGTGTGAATGCTTGTCAAGAGCTAATAGAGTCTTTTGAACTCCTTTGAGTTTCAGTCTGCTCTGAAACCCCAGAACTTTTTTCCAAAATCAAACGTTCTCCACCCAAATCCTGTCCTACCCCAAGTTCTTCTAAATTTCCAATTATTTCTTTGAAGATAACCTAAACAGATTCCCAGTCTCACAGTGATTTGCTGAGTTTTTCTTTATGATCAGGGTAGCAAATTAGAACATGAAAAATCCTTTTCAGAGGAAAAATAATGATATTCTTTTCCTGGGATCAAACCTCTGAAATCTGTGATTGTCTCAAGATCTTCTTCCATGACAGTCTTTCTTTCTAACTCTCAGTAATGGCATTAAGATAGCTCAGAATAGAGAAAAATAAGATCACTTGCAATCTCTGTTTAATTCACGTGCTGTCATGCTCAGAACTTACCAGATGAGAGTGAACTCCAGCAACCTGTGAAGTCAGCTGAAGTCTTTGAATGTTTGGGATGTAACGAAGTGGAAAGTACGCCTAATGAAAGCACAGTGGATGTGGAATATATGCAAAAAGATAACTCTCCCAGGAAACCTAAACACACAGAAAATACACAGGAAATTCAGAGAAGAAAATTAGACAGAACTGATAAAAACAAAACTGATAGAACTTTAAAACAGTTTTTAAGTGTCAGTGATCAAGAAAGTAGCATTAATGGCAACAGAGAATATAAGCTATGTACAGAGCAAGACAATGTAATGGTGTTTGGTGATCAAAGTAAGGAAGATGATAGAAAAGACTGTTTTCTTTCAGCTGAGACCTATGTGAGAGGGAACAATAATCCTGATCAGCAGATTGTTAGTGGAGAGAGACTGAAAATAGAGGGAGAAACAAATAAGTTATCTGAACTGGATGAAGTAGAAAACAAAGAAAGAAAAAGATCAAGAAAAGCACAGAGTGATCCAAATTTAGATACAGAATTGTTGGGAAATGCACAGGAATTAAATACACCATCAGAAATGATTTCTGGAGGAGGGAATTATTTTCCAGAACATAGATTAGGTAAAAAACTTTTGTGTTGGGAAGAGACAGTTAGTGAGAAGAAAATATCACAGGGTAAGATGTATGGCTTGGACACCATAAATATAAATAGGAAGGAACTGAGTGGAGAGAATGAGTTAGCACAGGATGAGAAATACAAAGATTTGTGGCTAGTTGCAGAAATGGAAAGTAAAGATAAAGGTCAAAGCACAGACATACCTGGAAAAAACACTGATGTCCAAAAAGCATTGTATGAAAAAACAGTAAGCAAAATCTCCCTTGAAAAAAGAGAGAAGCCAAAGAAAAAAGACAGTGGTAATGAAGATAAATGGCGCCCAACTATAATTAAGGTACCAGAATTTTCATGTGATGCAAATGGCATAAATAGGCAAAATTAAATTGAGAATGATTCTAAACCGATCTAAATCAACAGTTGAATCTCAAATATGTCCAGATCAAATGAGTTAAAGTTGATTGAACATAATTTAAATAATCAGTATTCTAATGATATAATAATTTTTGTGGATTTAAGATGATTTTTGTTTCAGTTTTCATAAATTTATCTATATATTCATTTGGTATTACTATTTAATTGCCATCCTTTTCTCCACCCAGCTAATGCTCAGCCTTAATCTTAATTAGAAGTAATGGAACCTAACAGAATTTAGTTTGTGTCCATATACTTTTGTCTGTTTCAAGCATAATACATTTAGATTTTATGCCTGTGAGAGCATGTAAAGAGATTGGGTAAAAAAATCAATGTGTTGTGTTGGCTGGGATCTGTTAAAAATTGTCTATGTGATAGATCAGGGGAAATATAGAGTGAAACTGAAGAAGCTGCCTTTGCATTAGCCTTTTAGGAAATACATATGTCATGTAAAAACAATAAAATAAAATCAGGTAATCTGGTAGATTTGAGCTAAGATAATGTTTTGTTTACTTGAAGATATTGCTGTAATTCCCTTTCAAGCCATGTTTGTGTGATCATAGGAATTAGGTTATGTTCTTACCTCATGTTAGCTCGTGCTTGGTACCTAAAACCATGATAGTGCTAATGAAGGTGAAATTTGTATGGTTTCAACTGTATTCCTGCTGGTGAATGTACATCTGCTTATTAGAGCTTGCCTTCACCTGCCAGCATGTGAAGTCTACCATCTCTCTGGATTTTCATGAGGATTTTCTTAATTACTATGTTTATGTTCTGTGTCTGTACTGCAGAGCAGCTGTGCTCCTGGTCTCCTGGCAGAGACAGTGAAGGTGTATGGAGCACACTACAGGACATAGATTTATTGGAGAATAGTTCCCTTTCTGGTCATGATGCATCTCGATTCTGTCTCTAAATGCGGTTTCTTTCCTTGGAGGCGATTTCCATATTTCTCTTGTGTTTTTTTTGCTTGTGAGTGTAAGAAGCTTCTTCCATCTCACACTGAACTGATCCAAAAGTGGTAGTTTCTCCTTGGAAATTCTTGCACATGGTGTTTATCTCACTGTTTACCTATTTGGAGAAAAAAAATGTATGCAAGCTGTTTGTTTCTGCTAACTGCTAAGAGGCATAAGATTGAAGTGAGTGGCTTTAGGACTTCTTCGTTATGTGGATGTCTTTAAGAAGGGTTTCATATTTGGCTAATGGTAACTTCCTGAACATTACTGTATCAAGAGAAGGTGATGGTGGTGGGAGCTGCTACCTTCTGGACGTACCATGTATATAAGAGTAAGTATTATCCATTCTGCTTTTCAAAGAGCCTAATGTTCCATATGCCGTATTACAGAGGCTGCGTTATAACTTAATTTATTTTTCTACAGATTTTAAGGAATAAGGAGGCATCAGTGCGGGAGGCATATTCAGATCTAATGGCACAGAAAAATAGCACAACTGATGAGAACAGAAAACTCATGGGAAAGGTAAAAGCACTTGAGGAGATGCTGGAGAATGTGAAGAAACAAAAAATCCAAGTGGAACAGGAGCTCCCCAAACTGAGGGAAGCTGCAGAAAATGAACGGAAGAAGCAGCAAAAGGATATGGAAGAGATCTGTCTTCAAAAGACCAAGGCTGAGCAAGAAGCAAAACAGTGTCGTATGGATCTAGAGAACGTTGAGAAAGAGAAAGCAGATGCAAAGCAGGAGTTGGAGTGTGTAAGGCAGCTCATTTTTCAGGCAGAGACACAAAGAAATATATTGGAAGAAAATCTTCGAGCTTTTCGAAATCAAATAGAAGAAAGCACCTTTACCAGAAGAAATCTTGAAGAACATTTAAGAAGGAAAGATACTAATCTTCATGATTTAGAGCAGCAAAAAAAAACCCTCATGCAGGAGCTGAAGCAAAAAACAGAAGGAGAGGAGAAACTTATGAAACTGATAAAGCAAATGGAGGAAGATCTTGAGTTTAAAGGGTATCTATCAGAAATAAACCTGCAAGCAAAAGAGAAGACTGAAACCAAAAGGAAAGTTGTTGGAGGCAGGTACACTGTGACTAGAGAAACTTCCCTGCCAACTTACACAGCTGGGCAAGGCAGCCAGTGTAGGATTGATTCTGAAATTACAAGTTTCCAGAAGAAACAAGAAGCAAAAAAAGTAGAAGAGCTTAAGCATAAGGTGGATGAGCTAATCCTTGCTAACAAAAAAGCTGATAAAACCATAAAAGACCTCAAATATGAATTAAATGAAATCGAGCTTCAGAAATCATCAACAGAAGAAAAGTGTCGTTTATTAAAAGAAAAATTAGATGAAGCCAATAGTGAACTTAAATGCCTAAAAATCAAATTGGAGGAAAAAGACCAAGTAGAGCAAAGCTATCTGCAACAGCTGAAAGAACTTGACAAGCAACTACATAGAACCACAAGTAAAGCTGAAGAGGTAATGCAAGAAGCTATAGATCTTAAGCAAATTAAGATGAACTATCAGGAGGAACTGAAATCTGTTCAGCAGGAAAAGATACAACTAAAAAGAGAAGTAGAGGAATTAAGTAGATCACAAGCAAAAACTGAAATCACTATCAAACATTTAAATTCACAAATCAGTTCTCTTCAAAAAGAGACACTGGAAGCTGAACACAGAATGCAGTCATGCAAAGGAGAAGCAAATTATCTTCAAGACCAGTATAAGAAAATTCAGGAGCAATTGCTTCATAAAACAAGAAAAGAAGAAGAAAACCTGCAGGAAATTCAGATGCTAAAGAATGAATTAGCCAAGAGCAATCAGATGTCGGAAACATTGAAACGAAAGATAGAGGATCTTAATAAATGGAATACTGAAACAAAACTACGGATGAAGCAAATTCAATCCGAGTCAGAGAAGATGACTTTGGAAAAACAAAGTATTCAGAGGAAAAATGATGCATTAAAAACCCTAGCAGATGGTTTCAAAGAGCAACTGCGTACAACAAATGAACAACTGCACAAACAAACCATTATGGAGCAAGAATTCATATGTAAGATCAAAAGCCTAGAAGATGATCTTGGTAAAACAAAAGACTTAGTTAGTGAATATAAACAGAAATCTGATAAACAAAATGCTTCTGCTCTAACCGCTGACCTAGAGATTAAAAATCTAAATGCCCAAGTGTGTGCTCTAACCACAGAAAAGAGAGTGAATGAGCAGAAAATACAGCTGCAAGAAGTTCATATACAAGAGCTAAGTAGTAAACTAAAAAAATTACAGGACGAACTGCATCAGAAGACTCTGGATGAACAAATGGCACGCAAGAAAATGATTCTGTTTCAGGAAGAGTCAATCAAATTTAAGCACTCGGCAGAGGAATTCAGGAAGAAAGTAGAAAAATTACTGGAATCTCATAGCATCACAGAAAAGGACATTTCTGGCATAAAATTAGAGTGTGTTGCTCTTCAACAGGAAAAACATTTGGCTGAGGAAAGCATCATGCTGTACAAGAAACAGATTGAAGATCTGCAAGAAAGGCTTAAAAAATGTCAAGAACAACTACAACAAGGAAAGCATGCTGAAATGGACTATCATCAGAAGTGCAGGAAACTTGAGGAAGAGTTGGAAGTGCAGAAGCACCTGGTTGAGGATGTGAAACAGAAGATGGACCTGCAGGTCAAGGAAAGTGAACATAGGTTTCTTTTGTTTCAGAATGAACTTCAACAGGACAATAAAATCAAAGATTGTGGATTTAAAATGAGCTGTGAGAGAAGAGGAAATGAATTGAATTACCTGAATGACAGCTCATCTAGGGAATCTGAACAGCATCCTTCACATGTAAGACCTTGTTCACCTTTGTTAAGGCAGAAACAAGAGAGAACAAGTTTTAAATCTGATCAAATAGAAGAAAATACACTGTATGTGAGTGCTGATGATACAATACCAAGGGAGGTGCAGTTCCAGATGTCAAGAATAAATCAATCACTAGAAGATGCAAGATCACAATCCTATACAGAGTTTGTTTCTCAAACAAGTACGCAGTTCCAGATAACCTTTGATAAATCAAGTGAAATCACTGGAATATCTGAAAGAGACAAATTGAGAAACAGGAACCTACACAGTTCCAGACAAACAAGTAGGCCTGGAGAAGACATGAAACTTGAATTAGGATTAGTAAAAGTGCATCCCTTGGAGGTATACAATAAATTTTGTGAGGGTTTGCCTTCCTAGTGGTGGCTCTTACTATTCTATTTTTTATTTATGCTCTATCACTATTCTTTGTTCTCTCTCATGTTTCTTATGCTCATATGTTGGTGAAGGGGACCTCTTCATTTTCACTTTGTTGCTCAGCTTTTCGTTAAACCATTGTAGCAGGCTTGTTAATATCCAGGAAACACATTATTTTATGTGGTTTGTTGGAAATAAGATTTCACATACACCATTGTGTCATCATTGGTCAAAATGAGCTTTGCTTAACAGTGCTAAGTTCATCTAATAACAACAAATCTTGATGCTTAATCTAATCCTATTCTGATTGCTGAATAAACATTTGAAATGATGAATGCATTCTAAATCTCTAGCTATTTATATTTCTGTGCTGTTCAATGCTGATAACAGATCTCCTTTCTAATATATTCAGGTTCTCCTTTTTGTTTCTCTGGTGGTGGATTTAGAACTGAATTATGTGCAGCAAAGTTTTGCAGATCTATTTCTCACTGTGTCAAAAAATTCCTATTTACAGATAGCGAAGAACAAGCAGTATGACATGCATGTTGAAGTTACAACATTAAAACAAGAGAATGACAAGACATTTGGTAATGAAGAGAGAATGTTTGAGGGATACAAAACATCTGAAGGGTTTAGGAGAGAAGACTTTGCAAAGATGAATTCTTTCTTAGGAGAAGAGATTTTGAGAACTGTTGATATTGCTACTCAGTTGGAATGTTTTCCAGAAGAATATGATGATATTAAATTTCAAGGTCTTCGACGTGATGTAACTGCCAGACAATTGATTGAAGTTAAACTTCTAGACAGGCTTACTGTTGAGCATCTCCATTCAGGGCAGAAAACTATTGACGAGGTTCAGAAAAGTCTTGAAAAATTTTTAACTAAACCTACAGCTATAGCTGGAGTGTACCTTGAATCCAGCAAAGAAATACTGTCTTTTTCTTTAGCAACAAAGAGAAGAATCATAGGGAAGGCAGTGGCATTAGCATTTTTAGAGGCCCAAGCAGCTACTGGTTTCATCATTGATCCTACAACAGGTCAGAAATTCTCTGTTGATGATTCAGTTGTTAGAGGGCTTGTAGATAGTGAATTCAAGAGTAGACTGCATGAAGCAGAAAAAGCTGTTTTGGGATATTGCTGTTCTGGTAAAGTGGTATCTGTGTACCAAGCTATGGAAGCTCGACTTCTAGAAAGAAAAAAGGGTAAAAATATCCTTGAAGCTCAAATTGCAACTGGGGGGGTTATTGACCCCATAAGAAGTGTTCGTGTACCTCCAGAAACTGCAGTGCAGCTTGGCTTGCTTAATAATACGATTCTGAAGTTTTTGCATGAACCTTCTAGTAATGTGAAATGTTTTCATAATCCAAACAACAGGAAAGCTATGTACTACTGTGATTTGCTAAAAATGTGCTTGTTCAGTGTTAGCAGTAATTGTTTACTGCTTCCAATTGGTGAAAGGAGAATAAGCAGCCCATCGGCAGAGAAAAGTCATAGAATTTCTGTAGTAGACATCAAAACAGGAGCTGAAATGACTTCCTATGAGGCTTATAAAAAAAGAAGTGTTGATAAAGCTACGTATCTTGAGCTTTCAAAACAGGAATTTGATTGGAAGGAGTCTACGTGTTTTGATTCAGATGGGAGTTCTTTTATTTTGCTTACAGACCATAAAACTGGTGTGCAGTTAAATATTGAGGACGCCATCAATCAGGGTAGAATTGACAGAGCATTAGTCAATAAATACAAAGAGGGCTTAATCACAGTTAGTGAGTTGGGAGATATTTTACTTAGCAGTTCACAACCAAAGAAAGACCTAAACAGTCCAATCGCAGGATTTTGGCTTTCTGAAACCAATGAAAGAATTCCAGTTTTAAAAGCCTCACGCAGAAATCTGGTAGATAGAGTTACAGCCCTCAGATGTCTTGAAGCTCAGGTCAGCACAGGAGGCATAATTGATCCATTCACTGGGAAAAAGTACAGTGTTTCAGAAGCTTTGCAAAGGGAATTAATTGATGATGGTTGTGCCAAGCAGATTCAGCAATGTGAACTAATCTTTACAGGGATCATTCACCCTGTAAGGAATACAGTTATGTCAGCTGTTGAAGCTATGAGTACAAATGCCCTAGACAAGGAAATGGGTATGCGCTGCCTGGAGTATCAGTACCTGACTGGTGGGTTGATAGATCCGAAATCTCATTCCAGATTGACAATGGAAGATGGGATTAAGTGTGGTGTTATTGATGCCATCACAGCTACAAAGGTGAAAGATGAAGATTTGTATGTTAAAGTTATCACATGCCCCAAAACAAAGAAGAAGCTAACCTACAAAGAGGCTTTAGAGAGTGCTGTTTTTGATTGCCACACTGGCCTACGATTGTTAGAAGCAGCTCAGCCCATGAAAACAGGAATTTCTAGTCTGTACTATGCTTCATAATAGAGATGATAGTACTTATTTGAGGCCTGATTTAAAATCGATTCAAGTTAAGGAAAAGGTCTACAATGACTTCTATGAAAGTTGTAGATCATGTTGTCTGATGGAGTTGCTTTGAAACTAATTAGTTTAAACAGCTAATTAGTATACACTGGTAACCTGGAATTAGGTATTACTTGCTATAAAGTGTAAATCTTTAGGTAAAGTAAGGCAAATTAGTAATGTCAAAAAGCAGAGTGTGTTCAGGGTGTATCCGAAGGCTTTATCAGATGTTACCTTCATGTAGGCATTATAAACTGGAAGTTACAAATCAGTGAAGCTACTGTATATGTGGAATGCATACATTTAGGTGAGACGAGTCAGATTCTTCCATTAAAAACTGAAGAGAGTGCCCATTTTGTGAGTGAAGACAATGCAGTATTTCATACAATTACTTCATTTAGTATTACAAATCAGTTTGCAAATGTAATTTATTGTACAAGGGTGGCAAAACAGTGTACAAGAGTTAAATCTGCAATTCAGTAAGCAAGCAAATATTTTTTCTCACACTGATATTTTATTAATTTAATGGGCTACTCACATCATAAAATTTCATATCCTGTTTTTTTTTTCCCTACACTTCAGGTAACTTAACAGTATTTTTTTGTACTTTAATAGGCAAATGAATTACAGTTGCATGTCCAGTTAAAAAAAAATCCATTGAAATAAAATATTTTCATTTTCACTTGTTGCACATGGAAGGGCTCAGATGTGTTTTCTAAGTATTGCTAAACTTCAAACTACTGACATATTGTGTTACTATGAAAAACATATGTATTTTCCTATGCAGAAAAGTACAATTTTACTTTTATTGTCCTTGTTTCTGTTGACATAGAAGCAATGTATTCTTCTGAGCTGTAATTTAGTAATCCATGTCTATAGATTGGTGATACTGATATCCTATGCTGGCTGTAGATATCCACTCCTGAGGGTAATGCAAAGGCAGCAATTCAGAGATGCTTTATATGCAAATGTTGTTTAGGTTTCATCTGCTGAGTAATTGCCTGTGCTTTTTCTTCATATCAATCATTGTGTAATGAATGTACATGTGTATGAATAAGCATTTCTTGATTAGGAATCTTTTGAGGAATTGTTCTGTTAATGTCAATAACAATGTGGCATTTTTGTTCCTACATCAAAGTGTCGTAGTAATGCATGTGGTAATAATAAAAGAAAATCACTTTAAGGGTATGTGGTAATACTGCCATTTTGGTAGAACTGTGTTTCTATTGATAAGAATGTTAAATATTCCTACAACTTACATTTACACGTGTTTTACAATTTGTGATGCTCATCAGAGGTCAATGGAAGAAGAAAAAAAAGAACACGTTGAGAAGGCTGGGGATTTACTGAAATGGGTGTCAAACCTCAGCAAGACACTCAGCAAAGAAGGAGGAGAAAAGGCTGAAAAAACAGATTTGCCTAAGCAGCAGGTACACAGATGTCTTTTAGTAAAATAACACTTCCCTTTTTGGCTTTTTGCATTTATTGAAATGACAAAATATTCCATAAGTATTGTTTTATTCTCCATATCGCCATCCACATTTTACTAAAATGTAATTTTGTGTTTGGCTGTGAATGGAGGATTGGATAAATACTCAGGGATACAAATGTTACTCTGGAACGAGTAGAAGCTGCCTTTTGCATCGCAAGTGTACAGTGCAAAATGTCAATTTAGAGAAGCTGTGCTCTGCACACCACAATTTGACTGTTATAAAGGGACAGTACAGCAGTAGTAGTTCTGCTGCCTGCTCCTACAGTAGTTCAGTCAATCAGCCTGGTGACTTCTACCCTGACACCAAGATGGAGAATGTTCACAGGAGAGGCCTTTGAGCCAAGTTTCTTCTCATTTTCTATTAAAAAGTTATTTCAGGTGTTCTTACAGGATGGCTTATGAAACAGTAGTTGAAAGTTTTTGAACAGATGCACATTCCTTTTCAAATCTGCTTCCTTAGGGCATACAGAGGGCGTTAGTGGGGCCCTTTTTAATACCACACTATTCCACAGGCTGCTGAAGGGGCCCATCTTGCACCCGTTTTTTTGGCAGATCTATTATTGTTGTGTGTATAGTTGTTAGTCTGACTGTGAATTTCCATCTCCGAAGTTTCATATAATTTCTAGTGGTTTCCTTGCTAGCTTTGTCATGCAAAATAGCTTAGTGACCTGAAAGGATTTCCAGAAATAAAGGCCTGCCTGCCCACTGAGCAGCAGAAAAACAGAGCGGTGTCTTTTCCACATCCTTCAGAAATAGTTTGGCTGGTCAGTTAATCCAAACTCGATTTTGGCACATCTTTCAAGCAACTTGATCCTGTGTTCTTATTTTGGACATTGGCATTGGTGTCAAACCTGCAGAGTTTGAACTTGCTGTCAGACAGCCCTGCAGCTGCCACCGGTGCTAACACACTGCTTATTTGTAGATGATGTGCTCCATAGTATAAAAGAGCAGATATATTTGGGGGACCAGTGCTAGTTCTGTAACTGACAGAAAACATTCAGTATTGGCTTTTTTTTGCTTCTCCTGTTGATGATAGTGGTGAAAGCCTTTGTTAGTGTTGGGCCAGCGCCATGCTCCTTGGAGCATCTAAGCCTACCACGAAAGCTACATTGGCATCTTCCCAGTACAGCTTGAGCCCTCAAGAAGTAACATGCAGGTTAGTTGTCTTGGCTTCCTCTTGCCACCTGCAGGCAGCTATTTCCTGAGGGTGTTCCCATTACAGCCTGTGAGATAGTGGGCACCATCCAGAGATGCCTAGCTTTGTATTCACTGTCTGACATGGATGCCTCAACACGTTTGGTACAAACCTGATAGCTAATTTTTATAGTTTTGTTGTTGTAGTTGTTTTATTTTGATAGCTGATGTTAGCTGAAGCACATTTCATACATACACTTGGGGGTGTTCTGAGGGGTAGCCATTGGGAACGGGGGTGGAGAAGCTGCTGCCAGTAGTGACGTAGCATATACAGCAATCATAGTGATGCCAGTACCCTGAGGAAAGGGAAACTCATGTCTTCTCATGTACAGCATTCTATGCTTGCTGTCCGTGTTTTTGCCCAAGCAGCACGAACTGTGGGACTGTGGCTTGCTGGTAGCGAATGCAAAGACATACTGTGTTCAAAACCTACTGATCAAGACAGAATTGTTGTGTCCCAGCCCACATGAACCTACGTTCCCAGGCACCTTCCCAGAGTTGACTTAGCACCTGCGTTGGATTTACCCCTGCCTTGTTAACAAAACCCTTGCCGCCCCTTCCCCCCACCTTTCCCTTTGTTTAACCAAAATCAAAGGTAGTGCTTTTGTCTGAAGAACTGCAGGCAGTTTCTCAGAAAAATTAAAAGATTAAATTATTGCAAGTTCCTCTGCTGGAACTAGAGCTTGAGTGGGAATGACACAAACGATAGAGGGAGAATTTTAATAAACAATTCATTTTTTTCTGAGTATCTAAATTTGCATTAATCTGTCAATGAATTTCGTGAAGTTTGAGGCCTTCTGATACGTTTTATAAAAAGTTACTCTCTCTTATTGTGGTGTGCAAGTTCTTGAGCATGGCCGTTATATACATATCTTTGTGAATTTACTTTAAACTTTGCCAGATACTCAGAGGTTTTAAATGATTAAGTTTTAAACAAGTAACATTTGAAATAAATTCAGTTTAGCTCACCAAATTGTTTTCTAACTCAGTTTATTTTACCAAAAGACCTAGTGCAATGATTTATCCAATAATAAATGAATTTCACAATAAGTAACATATGTCTAGGAACAGCTTCTTTCTCTTTTCTTTAATTTCAAGTTCCTACACTACTGAGTTCTGTCACACTTAGAAACATTGTGCTGTTTGTTTGCTTTTCTTTTTATATTTGTGCATAGTTAAATCTTGAACACTTGTTTATTTTTCAGATTTCCCTTGAAGAAATGTCAGTTAAGAAAGAACAAATAGCTGAAGCTCTGCAGACTACTCAGGCATTTTTAGCTAAACACAGTGACAAGTAAGGCATGCTTTTATTTTTCAAATAAATTAATGGAATCAGTACATACTGTTTGCTTATAAAGAAAGCATATTCACATGCTATAGTTCCAATTATACTTCACATACACATGTGTCAGATTTTGTTGTTATTGTTTTGTTTTTTAATAAAACTTTGTCAACCATTCTGGTTAAAGGTTGATTAAGTTTTGTTTATTTCAGGAGCTTGATTAGGTTTACGTACCTCTGTTCAACTTAAAGGGTGCAAGATCATCATTGACATTTGAAGTAAAAATAATTAACAAATTAAAAGTAAATCAATATTTCAATTTTATATCTCAAATTTGTTTCATTTTCATCTAAAGTTATTTAGAAGGGTCTGTGACAGAACAAGGGGAAATGATCTCAAACTAAAAGAGTGGAGATTTTGAAAAATGAAAAAAGTTTTTACAGTAAGAGTGATGAGGCATGGGAATAGGTTACTCAGAGATGTGGTTGTTGCCCCATCCCTGGGGGCATTCAAGGTTAGGCTGGACCAGGCTCTGAGCATCCTAATCTAGCTGCAGGTGTCCCTGTTCATTGCAAGGAAGTTGTACCAGCTGACCTTTAAAGGTCCCTTCTAACTTAAATGATTCCGTGAATCTTTGATTTTAGTACACTAGCAAATTGCTGAGGTACTTCATGACTACTTGCTACCCATCTTCACTGGTGATAAGTTGGCAAAGGAACATGCAAATGATAAAAGCTTTTGCTATCATTCAAAGTAAATTGTAGATTAGTTTAACCTTTTTTTTAATCTGAGTAGCTATAAACAGTTATAAACTTTTTTTTAAGTAAAGATTGGCAGACTAGAAATTATTTAAGAGACCTCCTCCTTATTTTTTTTGTTTGTTTGTCTGTTTCTTTTTTTAATAGAATGACAGATGAAGAGAGAGGTGAAATGGAAAAACAAGTCAAATCCCTCCAGGAGAGCTACAGTTTGTTAGCCAATGAAGCTTTGAAGCAGCTGCAGGAAGCACACTATTTGGATGATGAAAAGATGGAAGAAAAGGTAGCAAGATGGAAACTCGGATATCAGGGCCTTTTGAGTTTTACTGCATGGTTTTGAAACCATATGTGATGGGTGAAAAATGAAGCTGTAATTAACAGTGTGTCAAGGATTTTAAGGTTTAACTGACAAAGTTTTGTGTATTAGTTATGAAATACTGTGTGTTACCTTACCTGTGCATATGAATACTCCACTCATCAGGTTTTTTTGTGAAGAGTCTTGATAATGTGTGCCTTGCATGAAGAAAGATAAACATTCATTGCTTAACTCTTCTCATAAAAGCCATTCTTTGACTGCTATATAAGTCTGTGTCTGCCGCAGAAAGGACACCACAAAGTAACATGTTAATGTCTTCCATATATCCTTCAGAAGTGTCCTCAGAAGAAATCTACTTTCAGTTTTTCTTAAAATTTATCTGGATATAAAAATGAAAGTGCATAATAATGTTAGTGACCCTGAGACACTGTATCCATTTGCTAATAGATCTCAATCTTAAATATGGATTTCTGAAAAAAATGTTGCATATGAATTTTCTCGTTTGGAGGCAGTGTCTGTTTAATTACTTTAAATAATGTTGCCAAACTGACTTCATGCTTTCCATGCAAACTAAAAGCGTTATTTGGTGCTAGAATATCTGATTCCATAATGTTGGATGTATATACAGGAGTGCTGTATGCTGTAAACATGAATAGCATGGTTGTTTTGAATCACATACTGTTTCTGAAGTTCTAACATTTCACAGACATTTAGAGCATGAAAATTTGCCTTTCAGGTAGTATGTTCTATTTGCTCACTCTGCAATCATCTCTTCTACTGTCTTTCACTAACCCTATTTATGTATGCAAAGCATAGGTTTTTAATTCACAGATGCATGTTGATTTTAAATCTTTTATCACATCGTGTGCTGTTCAATGACTGACATAGATCACTTGTGCGTTTGAGCTGCTAACATTCACAGCATTCTTCCAGTCCTGGTAAGTACAAGTTCTTATGCTTATCATGCATTCAGAAGCAAAAGTAAATTTGAAATTGGTCTAAAATAGTGATACTTGTTCTTTTGTATTTCTTTTTAGGTGCATAAAGTCATTGCTGGTATCATTGACCAAACGACTGGAGAAGTCCATTCTATTTTTCAGTCTATTCTAAAAGGTTTTATTGACTATGACACTGGAGTTAGGTTGCTTGAGAATCAGCTGATCCTTACTGGAATAATTTCTCCAGAATTAGGAATATGTTATGATTTGGAAGAAGCTAAAGCTTGTGCCCTAATTGATGACCAGACTCTATTGCAGTTACAGGAATTAAATAATGCAAAGAAGCTTATTTCAGAGTCAACATTATCAAATCTTCCAGTTATATCAGCTTTAGAACAAGGTCTAATTTCAGAACCTTTGGCTATTAAAATTCTTGAGAATCAGCTTTCAAGTGGGCACTTGATTTTACCATCTACTGGAGAGCACCTGACTTTGCAGAATGCTTTCCAGAGAAACCTGATTTCTCCAGCATTATATGCAAAGCTTCTGGAAAGACAAGACACTTGTAAAGATCTCATAGACCCTAATTGTGCTGAAAAGATTTCCCTTGAGCAGATGCTTCATAGAAGCATAATACATGGTGAAACAGGGTTAAGACTCCTACCAGTGAAACCACAAGAAAAAGGTAGAGTCACACTCAAATGTGGAAGGAAAATAACTATTTTGAGAGCAGCCCATGAAGGACTCATTGACAGGGAAACAATGTTTAGGCTGCTGGGGGCTCAGATAATATCTGGAGGTATAATTGACCCTGAGTCAGGGAAGCAAATGACTGTGGAAGAGGCCGTGAGTCAAGGGATTATAGGTCAGGACACTGCTTGTGGAATCTTCACACATCAGGTTCAAACGGGTGGAATCCTTTGTCCAAATTCTGGGCAACGCTTGACTGTTGATGAAGCCATACAATGCAATTTAATATCATCTACCAGTGCACTGCTGGTGTTAGAAGCACAGAGAGGCTTTGTTGGACTAATATGGCCTGACACAGGTGAAATATTCCCCATATCAACATCTTTGCACCAAGAAATGATAACAAGTGAGCTGGCATTCAAAATTCTAAGTGATAGGCAGAAAATAGCTGCACTTTACATTCCAGAAACTTGTGAAGTACTCAGTCTAGACAGGGCTGCACAGTCAGGGTTAATAGACATCAATACTGTATCTATTCTGAACAGTGTGACTTTACCGGATAAAATGCCCGGTGTAGAAGAATTAGAATCCTCCTGTAAAAATGCTGCAAAATGGTTATCATCATATGAAGTCGTGTCATCTTTATTTCGTGACTGTGAAGAGGAACAGGAAGATTCTGGTACAGAAGACCCTGCATGTCTTAATTCAGACCAAGCTAAGAAATTGTTCATATCTTATCTGATGGTGAATAGTTATATGGATGCAAACACTGGAGGAAGACTTCTGTTATATGATGGACAATTGCAGGAAGCCATCAATATGTTTCTGGCAGGGGATAGTTCTGCATACACTACTGATGTGTCAGAAATGGCTTTCAACAACAAACACATAAGTCCAAAAGGAATTAATCTAAAGTCAGCTGGCAATGTCCACTTCAGTAATATTATAGGCAGTGTTCAAGGTGGTCCTTCAGGTGCTGAAAATACTTCTGATGACAAGAAGTTAATTCAGTTTGAAGATTTGGAGAATTATACGTGTTCACAGAGAAAAGATACATGTAGATCAGATGTTTGCAGTGATACTGGTACTGAACAATCACAGTTTACTGTGGAGATGCTGCTAAATAAACCTGCAGAACTTAAAAATGTAGAAAGTAACACTCAAAATTTCAGGAACAGAAATGCACTCGAGAGTCTTTTGGAGGATTCTGAGTGGACACCATTAGAAGTGTATAAGCATAATGATCAGAAAGCAAATTCAAGAAACACTGAAGGAGTTTTTCCAAATGACTCAAATCTAAATCTTATGTCAGATACAGAAAAAGAAGAGATTGTTATGACAGATAATCTGGGTAAGGAAAACAGAAATGATAAAACCTTATACAGTTCCTTGAGTGTGAATGACTTGTCAGATAATGAAATCTGGACAGACCAGGAAAAGACCTTCACAAAATACGAGCCTCATGTATTGCAACCTGACAGTTATAGAATGGCACTGGGTAATGTTGAGAAAGATGATTTTCAAGGAAGTTTTGGTTCATCCTTCAACACAGATACTGAATACAGAATTCCAGAAGAATCAGATAGTCAGTGTGGTGACACACTGCAATTTGAAGGTAATGGACACAGTGAACAACCTCCGCTGGACTACACTGATGTACATAATAGGCCATCTCTAGAGAGCTGTCCATATAGACATCGCAGGCAGTCTTTGGATGGTAGTACTGATTTCCAGAGTAAACTATGTCTAGAAAACAGTAGAGAAATACAGTGGAGGCCTTTGTTGGAGGCCAGTACTGTTACACATGATGGACCACCTGAGGGGGTCAGTGACAGCATGGCACAAAGCGTATCAGTAGAAGAAAACAATCTTGTGTTTGACAAGTTATTACCTGGAGACAGTAGTTCTGACTCATCACTAGAAGGGAGTGATAGCATCCCACAGGTTGAAAGTAGCTGCTCACAGCATGATTGTAGTGAGGCAGTCTCAGAAGAGGACAGCTCGCAGTTTGATGATGATGATGATGATGATGATGATGATGATGATGCCTATGAAACTCCTCAGGTTGATGATGATGACAGTGATTTCTATGGTACTCCACAATTTGATGATGATTCCTATGACACCCCTCAAGATGATGATGATTTTCGTACCTTACAGCTGGAGGATGATGATACACCAGAGCCAGAGAATGTTCCGTTAGGATTTCTAGAGGAGAGAGGTGGTCTGATAGCTCTGAGAGAAGAGAACAGCTCTTATGAGGAACTTCCAGCTAATGCTGGAGAGAACGTCCATTACATTAGAGACATAAATCAGACAGCTCTAACTGAGGGTGTTAATGTAGCTTCTACAACTGCTGAAACTTTGGAAACAGCCCCTGAAGAGGAAAGAGAAAGAACAAGGAACTTTGAAGAGGAACAAAAATTACCAGGTACTCTGGGCAGTGGAGAAAGAAGGGAGGGATGCTGTAGTTCTTTTCAGAAGAGGTATGAAACAAAAACACAGCGAGACAGAAACGAAGAAGATGAAATGAAAGCAGCAAGTGACTACTGTGAGTATGAATCGGAAGGAAAACAGGAGGAGGAAGACTATGATTATGACTATCTGGATTATGATAGTTATGATGACTCTGATACTGAGTCTGACAGTGAAGAAGAAATGGATACTTTTTATTCACATAATCAGTGTAAAAGCAGAGATGACCAGATGTTAATTCCTGCAGGGGACATAGAAAATAGAGAGGAAAATAATCAGAATATTGATGAGTATTGCTATTCTTTAGGCCACAAGACAGAGTATAATTTGCAATTCCAGTCTAATCATGGAAATGGAGAACTATCTTTGGGAAAATGTGAAACTGCATCAGATATCTGTGAGAAAAGATGCGTTGATACATGTATGGGCAAACAAGAAAGTGAACAAAAACCAGAAAATGACTACGGAACTTTTCCCAAAAATGAAAACATGTCAGAAGATACTACTGAGGATATTCAGTCTGAAAATACCTTTGACACGAAATGTATATCCTGTAAGAGTGAAGAAAATAATAAAACACACTTTCTTGATGATACTATGATATCTGACATTAGAGTAACACCTTTCCTCATTACAAAGCAAGCTACTGGAGATGATGAAAATACTAAGACAGATTTGCTTCTATCAGAACACTTTATTCACAGCATGAACAAAAGCTGTAGTACTGTGCCAGTGTTACATTTAGATCATGGGCAAAGACAAAAAGAAGCAGTATTTGCAGAGGAAAAAGCATTAAGTGATGTGGCTGGTTTGGAACAACTAAAGGCAAGTTCATCCCAAAAGGAGAGTAAATTCCTCACAGGT